TAAATGTATACATACGTGTGTGTATACACATGTAAATATATAAACATGCTTTTGCAATTTAAAGAGATATAAAAATATAAGAACAATGAAACTCAATGCCGAAGGGTACTGTTCCTTTTAATTGGATAATCAGACATTCAGGACTTTTCCCTTCATTTAGTTAAGATGATATCATGCCCTTTACTATGCAGATAAAGGCAACACTTAATGGCCTGGTAAGCTGCTTAGTTTTCCTGTCTGACTCACCACTACCATCATCATTCCCCATTATCATTAGTCAGAGTTCCAAACAATATAATTTCATTTCATAGTGCTTTCATATTGCCAGTCAGTTCAGCTTTCAAAGCTTCAATGGAAGCACTGACTATCCCAGAAATACATTATATAGAGTCTAGTGGAGGGTAACGACTCCTCATACTCAGTTGCAAACAGTGAGTTTCTCCTTACTTTATAGAAGTACTGTTATTATTTTTAATAATATTTTTACGTATTTATTTTTATTTTATGTGTATGAGTGTATTGCCTGCATGTGTGTAAGTGCACCCGTGTTGTGCAGTGCCCATAGAGGTCAAAAGAGGGCATCAGATCCCCTGGAACTGCAGTTAGGGATAGTAGTTAGAGGCCATGTGGGCCCTGGGAATCGAACCTGGGTCCTCCATAAGAGCAGTCAGTACACTTAACCTCTGAGCCATCTCTCAGAGCCCAGAAATAATACTATTATTTAGAAACAAATATTACATATATTATTATAGGAAAAAATAAATGCTCAAGAGTACACCACCCCTCTATATTTAAAGCTATTTTTTATGCATTGCATTAAATGAAAATTCAGCTAACCTATCCTGTGGTGGAGGTTCAGAGTTCTAGGTTTAGGTTGATGGACACTGGCCTCAGAACTGACAGGCTTGAGCTGACTCTTTTCACTCTGTCATTCTTATGGTTAAGAAGGGACATTATTAAATTCTCAGCTACAAATCAGCAACACAAGATTGCTAGAGAAGAAGCTGTGTCTCCAAATATTTGGGAATTGCTGTTGGATTGCATTGACATAGGATGATCTCTTTTGGAAAGACATGCTATTGACCATAGAGTTCTGTTTGTACTAAGGCTAAACACATAGAGAGTCTAATCCAACTCTGAAAACACCCTTACCTCTGGAAGCTAGATTCAATAATACCCCATAATATTATATGTAGTTTTCTTTTTTTTAGGAAAAAGCTTATTTTAAATTCATCTTTAGTCAAATTAATGATTACTAGTTAAGATATTTTCTAATTGTTTGGGCTAACTTTTTTAGAATATTAATTTTATTTCAATTTCTTCCCCTTTGCAGCTCAATTATCTTAAAAACCACAATTCCCTTATACTTGTTTTAATTTCTGGAAGTTTCATTTTTATGTGTAATATACATACTTATATAAACATACCTAACTAAGATCAAAATGACTCCGCTCAGAGCAGAGGCAAAGAGGCCCAGATAGTGGCTCTGCTGGAGGCTGGACCCCTTTTCAGGGAGTCTTTCGAGTTTGGGGGAACAATTATGGTTGGACCCTGTGGTGGTTGGTTTGTCAACCTGACACGGCCTAAAATCGCCTGGGAAGACAGTCTCGATAAGAGACTGTATACACTGGGTTGGCTGGTGGGTATGTCTGGGAGGGACTGTCTTAGTTAAATGATGTAAGAAGACTCAACCTACTGTGGGCAGCACCATTCCCTAGACAGGGAGAGAAATCAAACTGAGCACAAGCAAGTGAGCATGCATGCATTCATTTCTTTGTTCTTGACTGTGGATGTGATCTGACCAGCTGCTGAAATCCTGCCTTGACTTCCCTACAACGATAAACTATAACATAGAACTGTGAGTTAAAATAAACCCATTCTCCCGCACTAACCCATAAACAGTTAATCCTCACTCTTTGGTGTGAATTTCACAATCCTGAAAATTCACAGAAGCTACTGGCTTAAACTTTTTGGGCCATTAGAAGTACCATAAAAGCTTATTAAGAACTATGCTCATTAGAATTTTTAAAATGCTCAAATTAATGACTGACCTCTACAATGTCACTTTTAGTAGAGGTTTATCTTTAAGGCAGCAACTAAAAAAATAACTCCCTCTGCAAATTAACTGTATACATAACATTAGGTTTTTGACTTAAGAAACACATTCTTTTCCAAAATATTAAAACTTTCAGAAAAGCAAGGTTCTATTAAGGATATGGATGTGATTGATTGACTGATTATAATCTATCCTGTCTATTTTTCCAGCTGGAATTCCATTATCCAATAATACTGGGTGCCTCATTTTCAATTAGTAAATATGTCTGAGTTATAACATTTTTATAAATTCCATAATTTATACCTTTCATTAAATCAGATAGGCCTAACCTAATTACTCTAAATAAATAAAATTTTATGATGCTCTTTAAAATAAGAGTCCATTTTCTTGTGCACACATTATCTGATCTATTAATTTTTCAAATGGTTACTGCATGCAGTAGTCAGTGTGTCCTGCTCACTGCAGAATATGAAGAGATACAGAGCACACATGGGCTGGAATGCCAAGTCTGGCTTGTTGCTCCTCTCTTCAGAAGCACCACACAGAAACACATATTTTTCAGCTACTCAGAACCGGTCAGACTCAGGGGCCTAATCAGTGTTTATCCAAATCCACAAGAGGCTGATGTAAAAGTCAGCATGCCAATTTATTAATTTTAAATGGGAGATGGGTAAAGTTTAAGGATCAGGGCAGGGTGTTCTAACATAAGGTACAAGCCCCACAGGCCCAGGCCCCCCCCAGGGGACTAAATTAAAGATCAGAAGGCTGCTTGGAGATCAAATACTTAAAGCAAAGGGAGCCAGATTTCCTCACAGGAAAGTTCCATGGAGCTCCAAACCTCAGTAGGTGCACGGCACTACACTACTGGGTGGCCAACTTTCTAAAAAACTGATGCCTAATGCCCCTTCCCTTTGTAGAGGAAGCCGTCTCCTCCACAGATGCCTACTTCAATAGACCAAGCTTTCTTCAAGAGCTTTCTAGCTGGTAGGTCACATGCTAGTTACTACTTCAATATGTGAGACAAACATGGAAGAAAATTTCAGCCAAGATCTGCTGAGTTTACTGGCATTGTACTGGCTTCATTCCAAAATACTAGGAGCATGTGCCTGGGAAAAGTATAAAACTGCAAATGGCACAATGTGTTCGGATGTTTGAACTCTGTCAAAGTCATGACCTGGCTTCCCATCTCAATCTGCCATAATGGCACCAGGCAAACAGAATCACATTTGGATCACCCAGCTGCGCGGCATCTACAAAACAGCAACAGTCTTGGGTTTACATTTTGCAATTTGTAATGTGAATGAAGTTCAGTCCAGTGAGGGACCTTTTAAAAAGTCTTACTGTAGTAAAACATAAAAGTTACCATTTTAAGAGTATCATTCAATGCATTAAGTCATTCACACTATTGTCACCTCCATCCATCTCCAGAACTCATTTCAGCTGAAAACTTAAGTTCTACCCACTAAACAATAATTCCATTCCCTACTTAGCCTCTGACCATCACACTTCTATTTTCTGTCTCTATTAATTTGACTGTTCTAAATACCTTACATGAATGCAATTGAACAATAGTTGTTCTGCTCTGACTGGCTTATTTCATGTCTTCAAGGTTCATGTTATACCATGTGCCAAAATTTTCTTCCTTTTTAAGACAAAATTACATTTAAGACTATCCAACATCATCACTACCCATTAATCTGTCAATGGACCTGTGGGTTGCTTCAACTTTTTTTGCTAACAATGCTGTTGTGAGTTCTAATGTAGAACTATTTCCTCAAAATCTTGCTTTCAATTATTTGGTGTATTTATCCAGAAGGGAGATAGCTGGATCATACAATATTTGTAATTTTTAAAGGAATTTACATTTCATTTTTGGTAATAGCTACAGCATTTCACATCCCTGTTAGCTCAAGGCTGTAATTTTTCCACATCTTCATTGACCTTTTTCTTGTTTTGTTTTGTCCTGTCTTAGTAGCCGTTCTAATGGGTATGAGGTGAATTGGAGTGGGGGTCATTTCAAATGTATCTCAAAATAGTTATGTACCCAAATTCTAGGCTGAGGATTCCTAGATTCCAAATAGATGTTCTCGTAGATTTCCATCATTTGCTGCTCAGAATCCATGAGGCAAGAGGAACATGTGGGGCTCATTTAGCAGGACAAGAAACTGAAGCACACGGGCTGGAGAGGTGGCTCAGCAGTTCAAAGCACCGCCTCTTGTTTATTATTTTTAATGTATATGTGTGTATTGCCTACATGAATGTGAGTGTACCCGTATCATGTGATGCCTGCAGAAGTCAGCAGAGGGTGTTGGATTCCTTGGAACTGGAGTTACAGATAGTTAGCCACCATGTGGGTTCTGGGAATCGAGTTCAGGTCCTCTGCAAGAGCAGCCAGTGCTCTTAACTTCTAAGCCATCTCTCCAGCCCCATAAATAAAATTTTTTTTATAAAAAAGAAACTGAAGCAAGGAACAGCTAAACATCCCAAGCAAGGGAGCATCAGGGCAAGGACCAGGATCATGTGCTTTGGACAGTGAGCTTCTCACTACAGTGCAACGTTTTCAGGACTGGAAGTTCAAAGAAAAAGGGAAGAAAACTCTTGTACTAAAATTCTTGAACTAAATATACACCTAATGGGTCCAACAACACCCTAATCCCATAAGGGAATAAACTTCTGGGAAGCTGAGCTCTGAACCATGAGACTAACTCTTGCTATTGATCAAGACACTACCCAGTGTGTTCCTGAGGGAATCTCCCTGAGATTCACTACAGACTTGTAGACAAGCAGAGTCACAGGTCCAGAGGGCTGAATCATGAAGCCCAATAGTGGGAACTTCAGGAGAAACACAGGCATTAGGGAGGTTGAACTAGCTTTAGCCTGCCAATGAATGCCTACATCCCAACAGATCTGCCTTAAAACTGGTACACAGGCAATAGAAAGGTACCTGCAACTGGAGCCAGACTCTTAGCAGGTTCCTCAGTCAATCCCAGGTATTCTCTGATGAGCTCACTCAGCTTTTGGTAGGCAACATCCAGATCATCTATGATAAACAAGACAGTGTTTTACTGCAGCAGGATAGTGTCGAAATATGGTCAGTGTCCAGTGGCAGGTGGAGTGATTTGGTTATTACACTTTATTTTATACTGTTGTTGTAAGCAGAATTCTAAGATGACCCTGGTGACATGTCAGCCTCCTCTAATCTCCTCTTAAGCATGGGTAGAGGCAAGGGAGTTATTCCCATGATGATGTTACATTATATATAAAAGGTATGTACAGATGTAAAGTTAATCCTTTGACTAATCTGAAGGGAGATTATCCAGGAAGTCCATGCAAATCATATGAGTTCCATAAAAGGTTAGTTCTTCTAGTTGGTGACAGAAGAAAAGTCAGAGACTCAAAGGACACACATGAGATGTGCTGTTTGCTGGCTAGAAGATGGCCGAAACTATACGGATAAGGCTAAAGAGCAGACTCAAGACACTACGTGCAGCCTTCCACCGTCAGCCAGTGGCCAACAGGAGTCTCAGCCCCAAACCTCAAGAAACTGCATTCTGCCAACAAGAATGAACTTTGGGGCTTATCTTTTCCCCAGAGCCTTCAAATGAGACCTCATCTCAGCTGACCCCGTAAGACCCCTCAACGAGAACCCAGTTATGCTGTCTTGGACTCCTAACCTAATGAGCAGGCATTGTTTTAATCATTAAGTGTGAACATTTCTAAGTAAAAGTATAAAACCAATATGGATATGTAATACATTAACACATTTTAGAGTTCAAAAACTAAGTTGAACCATAAAGTTGTCATTTGCAAAATAATTGAATGTCAGCAATATCATATGATTTAATTGAATCTCCTCTACCTAGCCAGTATCTCACTAAAGAAAATCAACATCAATAGTTTTTGAAGACTCTTCTAGATATATGTAATGCAAGAAAACATAATTGCACAATTCCTTTATACCTAAGGCTATGACTCTTGCCTTTTGTTTATTAACAGTATTAAATATATTTGTCTAAAAATAGTTTATTACATCTATTTATTGAGGGGCATGTGTGTGGAGGTCAGAGGGCAAATTGTGGGGTCAGTTCTCTCCTTCCACCATGTGGGTCCCAGAGATCAAATGCAGCTGGTGAGGCTTGGCGGCTGGTGCCTCACCTGCTGAATCATCTCATCAGCCAGTTCCATATCCTCTTATGGATATATGATATAGTGTAACTTAAAGCATAGAAATTTCTATATTTCAATAAAATTTCTCCATGACTACTGCTTAAATTAGTGACCATTTCTAAGATAGCTTTTTTTCAGTTTTTAAAGCTTTATTTTTAATAGACATAGTTGTACAAATTTGGGGAGCACAGAGTGTTTTGAACACACATATACATTGTATTTATGATTAAATCCGAGTAATTAGAATATCCTTCACTCAAACACTAACCATTTCTTTGTGGTGACAAAATTCAAAATCTTGACTTCTAGGCTTCCTAAAACTAAATAGTATTTTGTTGTTAACTATAGTCATTCTACTATATAATAAAATGCCAAAATTTACCTGAAGATAGTTTCTGAAAATATTTGTTTTACCCAGATACTTTTAAATTTTCAGTAGTTTTGCCTCCAGGTAAGTTACGATAAAACTCCCTGAGTTTCACATGCCTTTCTAAGTGGTGGCACACGCCTGTAGTCCCAGCTCTTGGGAGGCAAAGGTAGGTGGATCTCTGTGAGTTCAAGGCCAGCCTGGTCTACATAGTGAGTTCCAGGACAGCTGGGGCTATAGGGAGACCCTGCTTCAAAAAGACAAAACAAAAAAAAAAACAAAAAAAAACCCAACACCTTTAAATGTGTATTTGAAATTATATATTATATATCTTAGGATCATTTTTTTACCAAATCTTATTAGTCAAGATCTTATGAATTGATAAAGTTAAATCTTCAGATTAAAACAGTGGGAGGTTGGATCTTGGAGAGTCTTACCTCTTTTTGCAGCTTTTCTCAATTTTCAGTTACACACACACACACACACACGTTTCCTAAGATGTTTCTTTCTATGATGTCACCTTGTAATCCAATGACCTCACACTGCAAAAGTAAAACGTTGCTGAGAGTTACTGACCTGCATTGATCACTGCATCGAAATATCCTGGAAATTTCTGATTAATTTCAACATAAAGGTCCACTCTGGAGACAGCAAATTCGATTTCTGCACGACTGAATAATCCCTTTCTCCTCAAGTAACCTTCATACTTTTCCTTGTCCATAGGCACCACCAAGATATAGCGAGGCTCAAAATAGGAATATTTCAAACTTCTTACACCCTAGGCGTTCAAAGAGAAGAAGTTGGAAAGTGACACGTGACTTGGAAATCATTTTGGAGACATCAACAACACAGATAATAAACAGTGTTACATTGAAGACTATATCCCATCTGTAGAAATAGCTGCTGTTTTCCTATAAATATTTCAAGGTTGGGTTACTTTCTCTCTTCATCAAATATTAAATTAACACAGGAAATATTAGAATTCATTCCACCTACTATTCCCTCTAATTAATTGTTCCAATGAATATGACTGTTAAAAAGAAAATTGCTGGATATAAAATAGGGACATTCACAGCAGTATACCACTTTATTATCGAAAAGTAGTTCCATATTTCAACAGGCATCCTTGAAGCACAGGACATGGAGAAGGCTCCCATGTTAGCCCTCTGGCATCACCTTGGGGTCATTCCTGTTTCTAAACCAGCAACCAGGGTAGGGTCCAAAGTGCAAATTCAGTATCATAATCAGACTACTACAGTCACAAATACAGTCCTTGAGTTCGGGGGAGGGGCTGCCCTCCCACAATACAGTCTAAAACAATGCAAAACAACACTACAAGTCTCCTTTGTAGAAGTTCAGCCCTGCCACCAGTGTGCTTGGCTGAGGTGACACACCTGCTGTAACCTATAGCCGCTTCTCTGGCTCGCCTATCTTGCTAGGTCTTTTTTCTGGCAGTAATTAAAACCTCCAGCCACTGCCATACCTATTGCTGTTTCTGGAACCACCATATCCACCTTGGTTTTGTAGTCTGGCAAAGTATTGACCTCCACCACCTAGGAACCAGAGCTTCTGCCTTCAAAGTCTCCTCCCTTCATAAGTCTAAAATTTAAATATTGGTTATAATGCCAAAATCACTGTGGTTCTACTTCTTACAGCCTCTATTCAGAGCAGGGAAGACCAGCATAAACTGCTAACCGGGTGATCGTAGTGTGAAACAGCTGAAGTGTGATCTATAAACCTAGAGGTCTTGGTTGTGACTTCAGCTCTCTAGCTCCTATAGACTCTGCACCCATCTCCCAAGCTCTCTGGGTATCAGTTTTGTCATGAGTGAAGTGGAAGAGTTATTCCAAGTGGACTCTACAGTTCTACCACCATCAGTTTAACTCAACTTCAAAATCTTTGCTTTAAACATTCAGTAGGAAGAAAAACAAGTTCCTTTTAAAAGAATTTCTGGAGGAGTTGAAGGCAAGGGCAGCCTGGAAAAACTACTTCGGCTGGGGAGAACCAGGGGAATAAACTATGGTTTATAGACTTGACCTCCTGGAAAAAAAGTAAAACAGGAGGGAGCCATCACTCAGAGAACTGTTGAGCTGGAAAAAGTAGCTGGAGAAAGAGCACCGCTGCACTGAAAGATGCATTAGTTTTTGTCTCTACCTTGTCCAAAGTAGAATTTTTTATAACAGGTTTTCGTTTATAGAAAAAAAATGAAGACACTTCTTAAAGATACAGAACCAACCAACTATAAGGATAAGGATGGAAGTACTCTTCAGAAAGTTAAGGAGTGGACAGAAAGTGCCCAGTTTCATTAAAGTGAGGGAACAGTTAACCAATACGAGAAGGAAAAAAGGGACTACAGTCTCTTCCTTTGTGAAGTTTCAAAGGAAAATGAAGGAAAGATTCAGTGTCAATAGGAAAGCGCCAGCCTTACCCAAGTTTTCTTTTATATGTTTATTCTAATTAAATTATTTATTTTTATTTTATGTGCATGAGTGTTTTGCCCGTATGTATGTAAGTGTACCATGTGAATGCAGTGCCTGCAGAGGTCAGAAGAGAGTGATGGATCCCCTGGAACTGGAGTTACAGATGGTTGTTAACCACCATTGTGGTTGCTGGGAACCAAATCTTGGTCCTCTGGAAGAACACCCAGTGCTCTTTACCACTGAGCCATCTCCCCAGCCCTTAAATTATTTCTCATTACAAAGAGTTAAACTGCTTCAGTGAAAGTAGCTTGAAAAGAATATCAAATATCTTTGAAGATTTCCAGTATTTAATAGAGCTATATGCCCTTTAAAAAGTGGGTGGGAAATTTATGGTTTTCCTTTTATCTTAATTTTGGAAAAATGTCTGTATACTCTAATTTGAGAAGAGTGTGGGGGGCGAAGGGGGGCGTGGGGTGGGATATCGAGGCAGAGGAAAATCTGAAATCTGCAAGTCTAACTTGCTAGAAGTGTAAAAATATTGCACTCAGTGAGCAACCAGAGCCAAACGACAGCGCCACCCACACATCTCCTGTGAAGAAGGAAGGGGCAGGGTGACAACTCAGGCTGACACAGTCCTGAGGGGACAGGCAACCACCCACGCCTGTACCCTGTACAAAGCCCACTTTATCAAGATCAGTTCATCTAAACAGAGATGTGCTGGGAAAACAAATGGAGTTATTTAGTGAAGAAATAAAAAAATAAATCTCAAATGCCACTGTAATCTAATTTCCCCCACTGACCTCTTCACAGGCCTTACCTCCCCCATACTAACTATAAACTTAACACCTCACACTTTGTATGCACTTCTTGTGCCTAGCAGTGTGCTACCCAAACACTGTAGCCCCAACCTCAAACATGCAACACACATGTACACACATGCATGTGTGCACGATCACGCAGATACACTCACAATTGAATGAAAAATACTTACTTCTATTTCCATATGAATGCAGCTTGCTAACCCATCTCTTGCAATACCTTCCACAGTGTCCCTATTTAATCCATAATTGTGATTACCATAATTAAATGTTAGGATGAATTTTCCCTGGAATTAGAAAAATACAAAGATTTTCACATAACTGTTGTTATAATGTAATTATAAGATCACTTGATGTCTTACTGTAATTATAAGATCACTTGATGTCTTACTCTCATATCATTCAAGAAAACTTAGAAATATCACTAACTTCCTTAGAATGACAAAATGGCAAAGGGATTATGAAACAGAGCAAACAGATATCAAACTAGAGAAATTGTTCAGAATTCTCGCCTGATGAGAACAGGATTATTATTGAATAATCTATTGACAAAATGTTAAAGGAGGGCCAAGAACAGAGTCCTTTGGTAGAACAGATCACCTTGCTTACTTACCCATTTCCTGCCAAATCCACACCACACGCCATAATTACTGAGAAAGCAAAACTAATGGCCTGCCCTTTGCCTGTGCCTTTCCACCAACAGCTTCCCAGGTAGTCCAGAAGAGGCTCCCACTCCTAAAAGCCTTGCATTTCAAGATAAGCCATGAATTATGAATAATCTGGAAGGCTATGGACATCCAAAAAGCTTTGAAAAATAGACCCATCCTGGTTTTCCTCATAAAGATGGCTTTTTATTGAAACTGCCCCAAATGTTATCCAACAGAATTGCTGCCTGCCCTACATTCATTTAAACTATAAACACCACCTTCTCTGTATACTCTGGAAGCTCATCTCCTGTGACAGCTGAATTCCCTTATCTCCCCCTCCCCAAATATGCAGGTAAAAATACCCTTAAAATAGTGACTTTTCTTCAACAATATATTTACTAAACCACTGGGTCTACTCTAAACTGGTAACAGAAAGAACAAAAATATGGATGACCTTGGTAAATGTGACTTCTGATATGCATGACTTTAAAATAAACAAAGACGTGAATATTTCAGGGTCCAAACCAGTCAAATGGCAGCAGCAGTAAGACAGCAAAGCAGGGACTGGAGATGGAGCAGTGAAGAGCACTGGCAGCTCTTAGAGGACCTGGATTCAATTCCCAGCACCCACATGGCAGCTGACAACCGTCCATGAATCCAGTTCCAGGGGCTTCTGACCTCTGCAGGCACTGCACGACACAGGTGCACGTCCATACAAGAGATAGTAAGCAGTTAGGAGCTTAATACTGCACTTCATTAAACAGCAGGAGCTACAGCCGAGTCTCACACTCCCCTCCTGGCTCCAGAGGTTCTAGAGATGTGTGTAGATGACAGACAGGCTATCTGCCAGAGGAGAGGTGATGGTCAGGAGACACAGCGTATCTCTTGAGGTTGGGCGGGTCTCTGGGGGGATATGTGTATTGGGGGTGATCAGAAAAAGCATTGTAATCAAAGTTAAAAACTAAACACTAAATATCTTTAAGTTTTTACTACTTCAGTGCCATAATCTTTGTTCTTTGAAAAAAAAATGTTCTGATTCCTTTCTGTATGTAAGTATTTAAATATGTAGAATATCCATGCAGGTAGATGATCTGGCTCTGGCTCTCCTAGCATAGCAGGTACATGCTTTACCTTGTTTACTGTGCGTGATGGTTAACTTTATGGGTCAATTTGAAGAATGTTTGGGGATGAAGTCAACATTTAAATTGGTGAACTCTGAAGAAGCAGATTGCCCTTCAGAGTGTGGGTAGGCTTCAGCTAATCAGTTTAAGGTTTGTATAGAACAAAAAGGTGAGCCTTTAAACTGCACCTTTACTACTGGCTCTCCTTGACCTCCAGGATGCCCAACCACACTGCAGGTTTGGGCTTGTCAGTCTCCACATCCATATACAACTTTCAGTAAATCTCGCTACATATGTGCACATGTACACACACACACACACACACACACACACACACACACACACACACACACACATATCCAGTTACTGGTTTTGTTTCTCTGGAGAACTCTAATACTCTATCATGTACCCTGCTTTCAAAATGTATATATATTTGAATTACCTTTCAGATGTATGTTTGTTTACTTCCTCTGCAGATCTCACAAACATTTTCTAGAAGGATGATGTTGGAAGAAAGCTTGCATTGTACATATAAAAGAAACCCCATTCCCTTGATTTGTTAAACATTGAGATGATGCAGTTCTCCCAGCTCTGGCTGGTCACGCCCCTTCCATTTCCTGCTGCATGTGGATTTCCTAATAAGTAGCAAAAATCACACAACAAAAGGCTCCAGGTCTGTGGTTTCATTTCCACAAGAGAGGGAGAGCTTCTGTAGGTAAATGGCTGTGCAGGTTCCTGTATAAAGCACTGATATGTCTATGGGCCCATAGGAGAATGATATATTGGTACAAAGAAGTATTGGAAGAGACAAGAGGATGGGGGAAGGGGTGTCCATATGCTCTATCTACCTGTCACAGACAGTAGGTAGGTGTGACTGCCTGCAGTAGGTATATGTATACAGGGGTAGTATAGGCCATGGTGTCTAGAGAGGAAGACAGGCTGTCTGGTGGGTGTTGGGTGGAGGGGTGTTCTATGTGCAGAAGACTGAGTGTGTGGGCATAGTCAGAGAGGCTGACAATGTGTCATGAATTTATAATCCCTAGACTTAGCTCTCTTCATGAAATAGTATCACACTTAAAAGATCAGAGGCAAAACTCAAGTTGAAGGAAATTACGTTACATTGAAGTAATGTATCTTGGCAGAGACAGTAAAAAGGAATAGTTCTCAAATGCATTTCTGTAGAGCAAGTCAAATTATAAGGTTAAATATAGTACAGAAGTACAGTGATTTCTTAGAAGAGGAACTGAACCAGACTAACCTGATTATAGACCCAATAAGGTACAGAACATTAGGGGAGCAGGTGGCGCCTACTAAGAACAGATAAACCAAACTCAGAACAAAATGCCTCATACTCTAACAGCAGAAATTAACATCAGTTGTGGGAACTTGTTGACCTTCATCCTAGAGTTCTGAGAGAACATGTCTCAGTTCTATGAAGAGACTCCTCAAATCTTTTAGGCTTTTACAAATATAAAATTCCAAAGTATTCTTAATAAATCAAATACAATTGCCAAAATACAGCCCTAAGACAAAAGATTTATAATGTCCAAGATGGTCTTTTGGCAAGGTTACAGAGAAAGTGGCCCAGGGAGTGCAGGATTTGCTCACTTGAGTTTCTCTGTGAATACAAGTTTTGAGAACATGCACCATAGACTGAGTTGGTCATCCAACATGAAGCCAATGGAAACAGCATAGCCTAAGCTTAAACGGTTCCATGGTTATGCACATTGGAGGACTAAGCCAAGCTCCATTACTGAGGTGAAGGAGAGAAAGGAGGAAGGAAAGAGGAAAGTGGGTGAGATGCACTTTAATAGCACTACCAGCTGAATGCTGACTTCTTAAGGCAAAAACAAAGAGTCCTTCAGCTCTTCCTCAGTAAGCTTCTTAAGAAAGAAAAAGTGGTATGTGGTTCATTTGGTGGTAGAAGGTATTGTAATATAAACAAAACTGTGGCTCACGGTAAAGAAAAGCAAGAGGCACAGATTTGTTAGCAGTTAAGGCAAAACAGGATGCTCTTTTGGTTAATGAAGTTATGGGTGTATACATTAGCAAGCTGGGCATGGTGGCACACGCCTTTAAACCCAGCACTCAGGAGGCAGAGGCAGAGGCAGGCAGATCTTTATGAGTTCAAAGACACCCTGGTCTATATAGCCAGCTGGGGCTACAGAGAGACCCTATCTCGAAAAGATGAAAAGATTAAATAAATAAATAAATAATAAATAAATAATAAATAAATAACTGGTCAAACATACTAGAGTTCTAAGAACCCCTTCTCACATGAAGGCCAAGAGGCAACAAACAGTGTTTAAGGAAATTCACTCAGACAAGGGCTCTGTGCATTACCACCAATAGCACCATGATCAGGTTTTCCGAGAAAAAAATTCAAACTGAACAAGATTTAGAACATGGACAAAATTTAATTTTCCCTATTTTATTTTATTATTTATCTATTTTTTTTTTTTTTTTTTCTTTTTTGGCCATTTTTGAGACAGGGTCTCCCTGTAGCCCCAGCTTTCCTGGAACTCACTGCCTGCCTCTGCCTCTGAGTGCTGGGATTAAAGGCGTGTGCCACCACGCCCGGCCTCTTTTCCTCATTTTAAAAATCACTATCTTCTCATACTTCTGACAAAGAACATGTATTGCTTGTTTGATAAAAATGACAGGAAACAGTCTTACCATGCTCAGCATTTCATCAAAAACTTCCTGAGAGATAAAATGATAATCAACTCGATCCCCTTCTCCAAAGTAAGGTGGTCTGGTGGTGTGGCAGGCCCTGAAGCCATGAAAACAGAGAGCTCAGTTTATTTCCATCAAGTTGAAGTTCACAATAGAAACTTTCATTGTGAAGAATGCTTAAAAAAATGAAATTGACCCACAAATCATAAATCATAAAGTAATATAATTGTGAAAACACTGGCTTTGAAGCATTAGACTACGTTTAATAACTATATGAGGAGAATACAAATTTTGGCTCATCAATATCAAATTTTTGCTCACCGTTATTTATTACCTCCTGAATCAGCCCCTCTGCCATCAGATAAGATACTTTAAAGAGCATAACAATATTGATTACTCACCCAACGGCTGCCAGATTCTCTCTGATCTATGGGCATTTTCTGCAGGCTCCCTACTCTTTGGCCACTTGCTTTTCAGGACTAAGTTAAAGTGTCACCCTCTCAATCTTAATGCTTTTCCTGACCTCCTCCGGTGTAGCATGTGAGTCTTTTATAGGCTTAGCCTACACAAATCTTGCTCTGACTGCTTGTTTGGGGGCTCATCTCCTCCTCCATTGAAGACAGACATACCTCATTCTCATCTCTGATTCCTACCAAAATGTGCACAGGTCTCCTATGGGAACCCATGGTTCTAATGCTGAGTGAATTCTCAACTCAACCAGGGAGGCCGTTTTGAGCCACTGTATTGAGATAGCATGTCTAAACACACACACACACACACACACACACACACACACACACACACACACACGCAGTACTCTGAAACACCACCACTGTCTCCTTTCATAGTTACCTGATTATTCCTGTCTTCCCAAGCTCAATACATAGCTGGGAGAATTTTGCCCCGTGCTTTATTTGCACTGCATTCCTAACACCTGGCATAAAGCAGGCATTTGCTAAATAATTGTAAAAATCAAGGAAAAAATGAACCATGTAAAGTGGCAACATCTGCAAAGAGGTCCTTTAGATAGGTACCATAAAAGTGACTTGCCCAAGGTCACACTGCAGGCTGGTGTTGTCCCCAGAACTAGAATAGGGTGTTCTCAACTCCCCAGGTCTGGGAATAAAGTTGATTTTAAATTATCAACAGTTTAAAAAGAGGAGACAAGAATTGTTAGGCGCTTAATCTGTGGCTTCATTTTTTTTTTCTTACAGAAGACATGAGCTAGGAATTACTGCTTATTTTTACTTTACAGATGATGGAACTGGGTGCTGCAATTACATATGCTGCTAAGCAGCCACACCAGAATGGCTCCAAAGTCAACTTTTTTTTTTAACAGTACACTAATTTGGAGGGTAAACATAAGCCTCCAAAGCGTCTCCATTACAAAGTCAAAGACATAAATATTTAAAATTCATGTGACTGTTCCCCTTCTAGTATAATCAAGAACCAACTGTACTAGGAAGTTTTAAGGTCTCAAAATTACATTTAAACTGTATACACAGGAAAGAATGTGCATTCAAAACATAGTGACATTTGTTTTGCTGTTGGAACACACTGACATTTCTCCCTGCACCTTGGCAGAAACTTGGGACCCTCTGTCTATTGGTGTCCCCTGACAGTCAGGGAAGATAAATCCATGGCCTGGCATTCTGGGCTGCAAACCCTTATCAAAGTCTTTACACGCTACACTGAATTTACATTTCCCAACAAAAGAATTGACTGGCAGGGAGTGTTGAAGAATTTCTAAAAAGAGACAAAACAAAGCAGCAATTTGAAGTGTGTCAGCAGGTAAACAAGGAGACAGCTTTACTGATGTGGCGAATGCTGATGACAGAGCAGCGAAGGCTGTGGGAATTTCTAGTAAGAAGGACCTAAGATGACCTACATGTGGGCTTTTGACTCTTGTCATCCAATTTGCACATATCCAAACATCTACTGTGCAGCGTGCTGCCCAGATGTGTACATCCTGAAAAGGAAATACTTCATAGCAAAAGCAGTATTTCATGAAACTTACTTAGAAAAATTGTGCCAAACTTAATGAAATGAATTTGCTTGGGCCATCACTTCCAACCCCCTTCTCTGCATAAATATTTCTATGACTTTATTACTTACTCATTAATTTACTAGTTAAATTGTGATAAATAATTAAATCATGGCTTGTAATGGGAGTCACATGTCCTGTTAGTTTCAGTAGCTGATAAACGGACTGAGCTGGAGATCAGTTAGCCCCTGACTGCATCTCTGGTTGTAAAGGACTAAGGGAACTTAGTCTACGGAGGGTTGTCATTGAAGCTCGAAACAGACCATGTCTGTGGAAAGAAATCTGGATGGCTGTCCCAAATGATGGAATTCTAATATCCAGGAAACTGTAACAGGAAGAAAAGATACCCAAGAAGAGTGGGCAGAAGTAGAGGAAGTGGACGTTCTCTGCTGGTTCACAAGCACACGATTTAGAACCTCTGGTCTGCACTAGATTGCTCAGGAAACAATTGTATGGCAATGCTCCTTCATATTTATGCAGAGGTTTGGTGTGAGCACGTGCTTCCAGCAGATTATAGCATGCCATATTGTTCTTTCAAAGTGTAGCCATGAAAGCTTGCCGCATCTGGCGGGTAAATTACATTGTTCTGAACATCCAATGCAAACACATGTTGATAAATCGCTGGATACAATTTAAGGGATTGTGAGCACAAGGAATTTCAGTGCGTCCTGTGTTTGAGTTCAACTCCACAAAGCTGACCCTGCTCATGCTCTAGGAAGTACAGGCTGCCTAACTCATGCTGTTAGCCTCGGGCCCACCCACGCACTTTATTCTAACTAGTCTTCTTGTCTCCAGCTTCCTTCAAGCCCTACCCCAAACTACCCACACCTTACATTCTCTAAAGCACAACTGAAAACATTGTTCCCTGCTTAGAAACTCTTGACTAGACTCCCACCTGTCTTTCCAGCCCTGCCTTTGGCCCCATTCCCTTCCTTATTTCAAGTTTAGCCTTCAGACTTGCTCACTGAATGAAATGCACCGTGGTTCTCAGGAAGGCACCCCTGCCAGGCCCCACAGCTACTCTTTTTCCTGCTTCCATCACAGGCTTTTCACTTCCCTCGTAACACTTCTCAAATTATCTTAAAAAAAAAATGTTTTTTTGAGGGCATGGTGGCACATGCCTTTAATCCCAGCACTGGGGTGGCAGAGATGGGAGTATCTCTGTGAGTTGGAGGCCAGCCTGGTCTATGCAGTGCATTTTGAGCCAGCTGTGGCTACATGGAGACCCTGTCTAAAAAATCAAAAAAAACTGACTGTTTTTATGTGTATGTGCCTGTGTAAGTTTACATTTACTACATGTAGGCAGGTGCCCTGTAAGTCAGAAGAGGGTGTCAGATCACCTGGAATTAGAGATACAGGGAGTTGTGAGTCACCACGTGGGTGTTGGGAACTGAAAGAGTCCTCTGCAAGAGCTGCTGAACCATCTCTCCAGCCCCTCATCAAACTATCTTGTTAGGCAACATTTCCTGCTTATATTATCCTATACTGCTTTGTTTGAAACCAGGACAAGACTCATCTTTGTTTATTTAAGTTTCAGTACCATCACATGGCACACGGACCATAGTCATCAAATATTATTGAATGAATGAATGAATGAGACAGTCTGCAAGGCTGTTACATTTGTGTAAATGGACACAACAGAGTAGACTGAATGCAGGTCACTATAGCTCCTACCATCTAGCTCATGCAGCTAAGTGGCATGTGGGTTTTTTCTTTAGTATAATGCCATATATATATATATATATATATATATATATTTTAGTAGTCAACAGCATGAAAAGCTAATGAAAACAGATTATTATAAAACAGATGGAAGGAGGAATAAACTCTGTCTTTCAGGATGCTTCAGATCGCATGATTGGCCTTAGATCTGGAAGATGCGCAGACATGCTGGTCTTACTTTGTGGGGTCTCAGTACCCAGCACTTCCATAGGAAGTCACTTTTTATGTGGTAGTATAGAGTTAGAAACAAGGAGACTTTGAAGGCAGTACATTTTTATCTCTAGGCCACCTGTAACTAATACAAGTTAAAAAGACTATCCAGGGCTGGAGAGATGGCTCAGTGGTTAAGAGCACTGGCCACTCTTGCAGGACTCAGGTTCAACACCCAGCATCCATATGGTGACTAACAACTGTTTATAACTCCAATTCCAGGAGACCCGATCCCTCTTTTGACTTCCACAGGCATCGCATGACAGTGAGTGTACTTACATACATGCAGGCAATATATTTATACACATAAAAGTAAAATAAAAATCTTTTAAAAAGAAAGAATATCTAACTTATTTCTAAAACAGGAAAAAATAGTGAAATCAAAACTAATACTACAACAGAAGCCCTCAGCACCACTATTTGTTATACAACAGAATTACATTTGTTTCATATATGTGCAACTTAGCAAGTGAAAATTTCACTGAATGTCTTGATGTTGGTCGATAAGTGAAAATTTCACTGAATGTCTTGATGTTGGTCGATAAGTGAAAATTTCACTGAATGTCTTGATGTTGGTCAACGTAACTTGTAAAAGGAATTAAAATACTAGGAAAAAATAAAATAAGTAGGAGGGAAAGAGAAGAGTCAAGCAATCAGGAAAATATCCTGTAGACACTTCTATGTTTTACAAGGAGACTGTATTCAGGGCTTCTTTCATCTAATTAAAATCAACAAAACTTATATTGGATAAGGAACATAAGAAAACTCTAAATAAGACCAGTGACTTTCCCCTGAAGATGTGCTTTGGTTTTATCTTCAGCTGTCATTAAAAGTGGCTGCATATAACAATAGACCCATCGTAGTCTCTTCCATGGATGAAATTTCTAGCTATCCAATGCCCTTCTTTGTGATCCAATGGCCATTGTCTTTTCATTCAAGCCTTGATGGAGTTCTCAGAATGATTTGCCACTGAACAGGTTGAGATCTCTGCCTCCACAAAGATAATGATGATGGCTGACCTATGTTTCTGAGCCTCTGAGGGAGGCTTGATGAGGATGAACTTGGTAGGGGACATTCAGGAGTGTTTTCTACTTACCACTCATTCCAGTCACAAGAGAAAAATCACAATGGCAACACTAACTGGATAGGCATGAAGTCCATTTTAGGTTCTGGTTTTGCCATCTCATGCCTGTACATAAATTCTACATAGTCCTAATTAAGGCATGAGATCTCACTAGATTATAGATTTCATGAAGGCAAGGAGCTCATCAGTTTTCTTACTGTATTATCAGGGACTCAAACATGGAAGAACTCAATAAACACTGAATTCATCAATCCACCCATTTCTCCATATATCCATCATGAAAATCATCTGTTTATCACAATCATTTCAACTAAAACTTGCATACATGACCATTAATTCAGCTGTTCATTTATTCAGTCAGTCATTTAACAAATATTTATTCTCTCTCTTTTTTTGACTTTTATTTTTAGGTCTTTTAGAGACATGGTGTCCCTGTAGCCTCAGCTGGCCTGGAACTTGATACATAGACCAGGCTGGCCTTGAACTCACATGGATTCATCTGCCTCTGCCTCCTGAGTGCTGGGATTAAAGGCGTGTGCCACCACACCCAGCCATATGTTAGGCTAAGCCCTTACTTGGGCTTAGACAAGCAGGGAAACAAATATTAAATAAATCAACTGAATCACAATGGGTAAGGATTGTAATAAGGGAATGACAGGATTGAGTTTAAATGAATAACTGAGCCAGATAAGAACTTAGGAGCAGACTGGACCAGAATCTTGGTAGTAAGTCAATAAAAACCTCCCCAAACATATCAGACCAAGTATACCTTGGCAAGAGCATATCAACAGTAAATAAAAAGGACCAGGCTGAAAGGAGCCAGAAAAAGTCATGGCTCTCTAGGTCACTTTGGTCTGCTGAGATTCCAAATTTATACACTAACACAATAGTCAGTGTACACACTTGACCTGTTTGGCCTTCCATTAATTGTGTTCAGCTTATCTTTTAGAGCAGGTTAAACATAATGACACTCTACACTTCTTTATTCCAATGTTAACTTTTGGTTTATTTTTGCTACTTCAGAGTATTTAAAAATAGTAAGAGATTTTAAAATATTTTATAGTGTCTGTCCTAGAAATGTCTAACTGTGGGTCGTAATTTTAAGTATTTAAATAAATGGGCTTGTTTAAGATTGTATTTACATTATTTGAATATATAAAGCTGAGGGGAAGGAACTTTTTCTGTAATAGCATTAGCAACTAATTTTTTTTTGCTGGTCTATAGAGCTTTGTAGTTACATCTTCAACTCAATGGCAGACACACAGTAATTTAAAAGTAATTCCTTCACCACACATAAAACACCAAAGAGAAAAACAGTTCAAAAGACCGCAGTGTAATTCTAAATCTGATTTCCAGAAACTTCTAAAACACTTCTAAGTCCAATGGGATAGTTTTCTCCGATGTCTCTACTTTTTCTCCCCTCTGTTTTGGTAGCCACTGCAGAGTCACTCATTCAAGTGTGTGGAGTGTTCACCTGAAGGAAAAGACAGGAAACCCCTGTGCCGTCCCTTCTCCAATGACATGTGCCTCTGCACAGGAAGACCTGTCTGGAGATACAGAGCTCCAGAGTTCCAGTCCGAGTTCCAAGCAGCAGTCTCTGCAGCGTAGCGCACTGGGGCACACTCACCACACTGTACTTCATATTGCCATACTACATGTGCTATATAGTGATTCCCTCCGAACTGAAACATTCCATCCTGGAGGAAAGCCCACTAAACTCGGGAAGTTCTAAAGAGCTTACCTCCTTAGGACTCAAGAGGTAAACAACTCAAAAGCCTCCCTAATACCAGATTCACAGACTCTCCCACCCCTCAGGTTATATAGGCTTTAAGGACTGCTGATGACCTGTTGGGAGAGAGCGCCAAGATTCCAGTTTTCATGAGTCATCACCTGCGCTGGACCGGGCTTCAGTGATGCAGCTACCTTTGCTTGCATCATCCACGCTCCTGGGAGTAACCCTCACCCATACTGCTGTAAGTAACTAAATCATCAGCTCACCAAGCTGGGCTTTAAAGGTGGAATCATTACTTTGGTCTGTCACTGATTCCTATCTGGAGTGAGTAGACGTTTGTTCATCTCTCCAGGGTCAGTGTCATACAACAGCACAGCAGCAGATGGACCCTGACTTCAAATGCTATTCTGCTCGATCAACATTTTCAGACCCTAGAGAATGATTTGAGCTGGCATTGAATTAACTTAAACATTTGTACATAAAAGTCTAAGTAAAAGCCAGTGTAGATTGCAGTGTAATAAATGACGAAGAAGCTACCAGACCTCATGGGAAAGGTATATAATGGCACAGATGTGCCTCATTTGTTTCTTTCGTTGGTCGCTGCTATGTATTTACCATCAGTTTTACCAAAGACAAAAGTATTTTGTTTCTTCTTGCTAGTAGCTAAGTTCTTCTGTAAACTAGGAATCCACTTTAACAATCATCTCTACTATATCAATTAGGAATGCAGAAGAGTCAAGATTCCTAGCCCTGCCAAGACCAGGTAATCACACAGATCCAATTTTAATCATTAATTACCTTTAAGGACTGACACACTCACAGTGCTCTGGATTTATGAGGACTTAGCATCTACTGAACATTCAACTTACTTCTAGTTCTGCTGTAAAACATACGTTGTTGTATATATTTATGGATTTGCTTCAAACACATGAAAATTAGCATTCTCTGAGAACTTAGTGGAAGGAAATTATTGATGAATCCAAAAACATGAACGCATTTCCAAGACTTACATGTCAATAAACAAACTTACCCATATCTGAAGTAAGTATTAAACTGTCTGCAGAGGCGGTGGGCAAGTTCTCGTTTTCCACAAGCTTGAGGACCAGCTAGGACCAGCATAGGATAAGGGGCATCCAGACTGGGCAGAGTGCTACAACAAAATCAGAATGATTTACTGTTCTGCTTCCACCAGACATGCAGTGTATTAACTACTTGCATTAGGTGACGTCTCTACATCATAGCTAAGGAGTATTTGCTGCAGGGTGCTCTCATTTTCCAGAAGCAAATAGATTATATCAAAACAAAATTCAAAGCAGAGATAATAAGGTGAAATGCAAACTTATACAAATTTACCTGACCAAGCTTTTCTAAAGAAAAAAATATGGTAAGACACATTAGTTCTTGATTGCAAAGTATTCCTTCCAAAACTTATCAATGAGAGAAGTGACTGAATTATGAGAATCAGTGCTAGAATACAGATATGCAAAGCAAGTTTCAAGATAATGATGAAAGTTTACATGAGGTATGATTGTGTGCCAGGCACTGCTCTAAGAGATTTACATGTATTCCCTCATTTAATTATCACAAGAAGCTAATAAGGCTGTTTCTGTCATTATACTCATTTAACACAAATAGGCTGAAATAAAGAAAGGTGACTAAAGTAAGGGTTGATATATGATTCTAGGCTTAGCTTCTAGCCCAGAACACTGAAGAATGAAATTATTAATACAATCTCCTACAACATGCTGAGCTCGTGTGCTTGACTCAAGAAATGAACTACAGAAACAAAGAATACAATAAAATATGTTGGAGAGTATAGCTGAGGTGTGGGTTCAATGAAGACTGAAAAACATGAAATAGCATGCTTTTCTACTTCTGTGAATACTCATGGGAAAAAGGGGGGGAGGCTTGAGAGCAAAAGTGTATAGAAAATACACATAACAAGTAGACAGAAAGATTTCTCTAGGGATGCAGAGCCTGCCTGTAACTAGAGCCTGTGTAGGAGGAAAGAGGGAGCAGTGGGTGCTTTCTGACGGATCTGAGGACGGGAGCCCTCCAAACACCCATTGGGCATCCACTGGAAGCAGAGAGAATGCAAAAGCCTGCTCATGACTGTTCACAACTTTATTCGTGGCACCCCCAAACTGAAATCAATGCAAATGTTCTTTAACATTTAACATGTAAACGGTTAAACTAATGGTTTAACCATTAGCTATATATTTATAATATGTATATGTATAGATATGTATAGATATACTTATGCCCTGGAATATTACTTAGCAATAAAAGAGAATAAGCTATTAATGCATGCAACTACTTGGAGGAATTCCTAGGAACTTATGCCACAGAGGATGGAAGGTTGTCAATTTTGGAAAAGTTATATGGTATAATCCATGCACATCATCTCCTTAAAATGGCAACATTATGAGATGGGGGTAGACTCATGCTTGCCAGGGATGAGGGAAGATGAGAGGGATGGAAAGAAGAGTTACAGATATTAAGAGGTGCCTCAAGGGAGTCTTGTGATGAAACTGCTGTATCTTGACTGCAGGGGTGCTCAGATGAACCGACACGTGAAAATACTGCACAGAACTAAGGAAAGCCAGGCACACCTGAGCACCTGCAAAAACTGAAGAAATCTGGTTAGGTCAGAAGGCTTCTTGGTCAGTTTCCTGGGTTTCATATTCACTAACAAAGTTATACATAATACCACCATTGGGGAAAATGGGTGAAAGGCACATGTAATTCCTCTGTACTCTTTCTTATAACCACATGCCTGTCAATGACACCTTCAAAATGAATTTGTAATAAAAACAGCTAAAAAGAAAAATAATTTGTGAGAAAAGTGACAACTATTGAAAATAGGAAAAAGAAATCTTCCTGACCAAAAAAATTAAAGCAGAGACTGGAGAGCTGGCTCCGCAGTTGAAAGCACTGGCTGCTCTTCCAGAGGACCTCGGTTCAATTCCCAGCACTCACATGGCTGCAACTACAGTTCTAGGGGTTCAGATATCCTCTTCTGACCTCTGCAGGTACCAGGCACTCATACACATAAAAATAATACATAAAATAAATTTTAAAAAGAGCAAAACAAAATAGGAAAAATGTTGAAGATTAACATTTTTCCTAAAATAAAAATACATAAAACCGCACATTATATCTAAAATAGCCCAGAATAACCAGTAGCAAGACACAGTCTGCTAAAATTATTGGACCTTTAAAACAAAACAAAGAAAAAGAACTAGAAAGAGAGCATATGACTTATAAAATGAAACATAAATGCTGAGACTTTGTCAATGTCTGTGTGAAAAGATGGAACCACCTCCAAGCTATTTATGAGCTACAATTTTTATACTTCATAGAAATTGTTTTCAGATATAAAAGGCACAAACTATTACAGCACAAAAGGATTCTGGTCTCACAACTCTTTCTAAGGAATCTACTAGAAAATGAGTTTCATGCCACCAAGATGACTTGGGACATTAATGAGAGGACCAGAAGTGACCAGAACCGAGAACTAAGACTAAATAAGGAAGGCTGGCCTGTTGCAGCTCTATGCTGTGACCACTGAGTGCTGCATGATAGCTTTAAAATGGTGTCATTAATGCTCTCACAAACTATACCGACAGACACATTCAGAGACAGAAAGCAGACTAGAGGTCATCAGAGACCAGGTGTAGGGGAGAACAGAGGCTCATTGCTGAATGCGTACACTTTCTGTTTGGGAGGATAAAAGTGCTTTGAAACAGATGATGGTCACTATGTAACACCACGAGTGCATCAGATGTCACCAAACTGCACATTTGAAATTCTTACTATACAAATGCTATGATGCACATATTCTGTCATGCTAAAAGTTGGAAAAGCATTAAATAGTAGGACATGGGCAAAACTCAGAGCTGCTTTTAATGATTTTCAGATCATCATGGTACAAGATTTTAAAATTGAGTTGTTATGGGATTTTGTAATTCTAGCCTCCTTTACTAAATCTTTGAGAATAAGAATTCTTGGGGTAAGAGTAAAGGAAATACAGACATAATAGGGAAGAATCTAAATAAAAGCTTAACTGTAGTCTTAAAATTTATTTGTAAGGATCATTATGCATTTTGCGATTATTTGTTTCTAGATAAATGCAGGTAGATCTATGTAGATATACAGAAATAGATACGAAGGATGGATGGACAGATGGATGGACAGATGGATGGATAAAAAGAATTATGTCCCTAGCTTTTTCCACTAAAATGCTAGAAACAATGACCAATTGAGTAGGAATGAGCATCTCCAGCACTTGGGACTTGACAATACCATCTCAGTAAAATCAGGCGTACTAAAGAAATGGCCAGAACCCATAAAATGATCCTGGGGAAGTCTGCCATACCAAGGAGCGAAAAAAGCTACCAGGAGTACCAGTCCACTAAAGGTTTGTCTGGGCCATTTTAATCAGGTGTCCTGACCCCAGTCATGCCAGGTGAGGGGAGAGTGATTCTCCAATAATATAGCATACAGTTTACAAGACCAAGTGCCACGATTTATCTCCTGGAGCTTGACTTCTGGGGCTACAGGGGGTTGGGGGACTGTGTGCTGGCCCAGAGTGGGAAGGGCAGTGGCAGGGCTGGCTGCATGCCAGCCACTAAATCAGAACTGTGAACCTTGCTCTATCCTTCAGCCTCCACACCTGGTTGGCCTTTGCCCTTGTTTATCTAACAGCCAAAAATGATCAAGAAATGGATGTTCATCAACCACTGCTACAATTTCTTCCATACATGTTCTTACACAGACATACCCTAAAGCATCAAGCAAGTAACATTATGAACTGGAAAAAGAATACTAGGGTATGAGTGTCTGTCCTGGTTTGTTTCTCCATTGCTGTGAAAAAACACTGACCAATATCAACTTGGGGAGGAAAGGGTTTTATTTAGTTTACACATTCTGGGTCACAGTTCACCCGGGAGCCCAAGGTAGGAACTCAGGGAAGGAACTTGGAGGCAGGAGCTGGAGCACAGGCAATGGAGGAACACTGCTTACTGGCATGCTCCCTGGCCCCTGCTCAGCCTTCTTTCTTATGAAACATAGGCTCACCTGCCCAGGGGTGGCACCACCCACAGTGGGCTGGGCCCTCCCACGTCACTCATCAAGAAGATGCCCCTCAGACATGGCCACAGGCCAGTCCAATAGAGGAAATTCCCCAATTGAGGGTCCCTCAACACAGGTGTGTCAAGTAGACACTAAAGCTATCCAGCACAATTGATCCCTTGTCAACTTGACACAAACATCACTATTAAACCATAACCTTTCCAATTCTTGTCCCCAAGATCTGATGTTAACATTAATATCACAACATAAGACAGTACAACCTTAAAAACCCCACAGTCCTTAAAAAAATCCAAACACTTAAAAGTCCATAGTCTCTTAGTAGTTTCTTAACTGTGGGTGGGCTTCTGTAAAATCCAAAACAAATACTGTCTTATTTCAGAGGGAAGAATCGGGCACACCTAAGCAAAACCAAAGTCCAGCAAAAGTAGCTCGAGGCTGGGCATCTGGAATTCACTCATGATCTTCTGGACTCCAAAGGGTTCTGGCAGCTCCACTTCTAAGTCTACCGTCCACAGCACACACAGCTCATCTCACAGACCCAGGCCAGCTCCATTCCACACTACTGCTCTCCTTGGTGGTCGTCCCATGGTCCAGGCATCTGCCAAAACCTGGGGTCTCCACCGAAACTGAGGCTACACCTTCACCAATGGCCTCTTCTTGCCTCTTGGGGTGCAAAGCCTCAGATTCTCTCCATGACCCCTTCAATCCTGGGGTCATCACTGCAACTGAAGCTGCACTTTCACCTATGGCCTTTCCTGGCCTCTCAGAGTGCCAAGCCTCAGCTGCTCTCTATAACCCCTTCACGCTTTCAACACCAGAACCATTCGGGAGACTCTTAGACATTGCCAAGTCCTGCTTCCAGCTTGAGACAGAGGCTCGGGTCCCCTCTGTGTGCTGACCCTGAGGAAATACCTCCCAGAAGACTTCATCACAATGATGTTGGTATCTTGTTACTTACAGCTGATTTTTCAGCCCCAGCTAACCAGCATCAATTGTCCCAGTAAAGCAAAGGTTTTACTCGACCAGAACCCACAGATTCTCAATTCAAAATCTCACACGAACAGCCCTGATAGTCTCTGCTTCTCTTTGAAGCTTCACAAGCCAGGCCTCCATTGCCCACAATTCTTTCAACATAACTGTTCCAAGCTCCACAGCAACAAACTCTAAGCACTCAATGGCTTTTCCAGCCCAAAGTTCAGAACGCTTCCGCAGTCCTCCCAAAAACATCAAGGTCAGGTCTGTCACAGCAATACCCCAACTCTCTGGTACCAAGTTCTGTCCTAGTTTGTTTGTCCATTGCTGTGACAAAACACTCTAATATCAACTTGGGGAAGAAAGGGTTTATTTATCTTACGTATCTTGGGTCACAGTTCATCTGGGAGCCCAAGGTAGGAACTCAGGGAAGGAACTTGGAGGCAGGAGCTGGAGCACAGGCCATGGAGGAACACTGCTTACTGGCTTGCTCCCTGGCCCCTGCTCAGCCTTCTTTCTTATGTAACACAGGCCCACCTGCCCAGGGGTGGCACCACCCACAGTGGACTGGGCCCTCCCACATCACTCATCAAGATGCCCCTCAGACATGGCCACAGGCCAGTCCAATAGAGGCAATTCCCCAATTGAGGCTCCTTCAACCCAGGTGTGACAAGTTGACACTAAAGCTATCCAGCACAGTGTCCTTCTTTCAAGTGAAATGTACTTCCAGATGAACAGAAATAAAGGATAAATCTTTTCACCTAGAGGTTTCTCATAAACATCCCAAACTGTCAATGTCGACATGATTACATTATATGTAAAAATCATGTCTTGGCTTACAAAATAAAACATTTTGCTCTCTGTGGGAACCGACCATGTGACGCGCAGGAGCAAACACCACATGAAGAAGAGACGCTGTTTATATCCAAGAGTTTTACAAGTATTTTTAAAATGCCTTTGGGTATTGATAGACTTTCTGGGTTATACTTATAGCATAAATGGCCATCTGCTCTGACAGATTGTTTAAAAAGAAATGGAGAAGCCGTGGTAAATCTGTCTTCAAATTTGGAGGTGAGAGACTCTGCTCATGTGCGTGGCCCAGCTAGGCGGCAACTCCCTGCTGGGCTGATGGCAGCTCAAGGCAGACTATCCAGGTTTCCCTGAGGTGAGCCGGGCTTCCTTTTAGGGACTCCCTAATAGTCTGAATTCATAGAATGTTCTTGGGCAGAAGTATTTAGCATCTATTTACAGTTAAAGAAAGGTTTACAATGGATATTATGACAGTTAATTTTGATAATCAACTTATTTGGATTAAGAAAGAAAGCCTAGGACATTAGTGAGGCATGCCTTTGGGAGTATCTTTGAGGGTGTTTCCAGACAGGATTACCTGAGGGGAATATGGACCTACCCTGAATGTGTGAGGCACCATCCTGTAAGCTGGCATCCAGGACTGAGTATATGGGGGAAAAGGAAAAAAATCAACTGAGCACCTGTATTTCCATCTCTCTGCTTCCTGATCTGCCCAGGCGTGAAATAGCTCCTGCTGTTATAGCCGGGAGTTGGTCCTGCCTCCCTGTCCTCCTACCTTGACAGACTATGTTCCCTCAAACCACGAGACATCCCTCCTCTCTTAAAATGCATTCTGACAAGAATTTCATCAGAGCAATGAGAATAATATACATATAAATAGCAATTTCCTGTTAATGAGATTAATGTCTGTCTGTGTTTCTATCCTAAGGCAGAGAAGTTAACAGGCCTTATCTTAGAATTCACTGTCATTTGATTCAGGGTAGCTAGCATACAAGGGACCAGATGAAAGAGTGTCAATCGGCTCATTACCACGTGGGAACACGACCAATACACAGGAACAGGCTATGACTGAGACAATACTATCTACCAAACAAAGACGTGGCCCTTTTCTTCAGCAAAGGTGGGAAAACAGCTATTACAGGGAATGAATGGGCCACAGAATAGAGGTTAGGGGGAATGATGGGGCTGTCTTCTGCTTGCTCATCCTGAGCTCTACCTGTGGAGTCATAATAAATACCTGTCAAAGATCCTCTGTGGCTGCATCATGCTGTTGACAACATGGGTCAGGTGATCTCGGACAGCTACCACTTCAGGGGGAGGGTCATACCTATTCACTGCTGAAACCTTTTCAGAATTAGAAAAGAAAAGGGGGAAAATGTTTGTTTCTCAGACGACAAGGCTTAGACTTTCCAAAATGAAAATTACAGACATTACCAGATTTACAAGGCAATTTAACACATGCTCATGAGCCTTGGTATACACTTAAAAAATGTTTATATATTTTAATTTTATGTGTATGAGTGTTTTGCTTGCATATAAGTGCACCCAAGGCATACAATGGCCATGGAGGCCAGAAGAGGGGCATCAGATCCCTCAAACTGGAGTTAAGAAAGGGTGTTAGCTATTATGTGGGTTCTGGGAACTGAACCCAGGTCCTCTGGAAGAGTAGTAAGTGCTCTTAACCACTGAGTCATCTCTCCAGTTCCTCCCCTGATATTTTGAGACAGGGTCTCACTATGTAGCTCTAGCTGGCTTGCAACTTGTTTTGTAGACCAGGCTAGCCTTGAACTCAGAGATCCACCTGCCTCTGCCTCCCAATTAAAGAGATGTACCACCATGTCTGGCTGGTATTCAGTTTTGATGTCCTAGTTTGTTCTTCATTGCTGTGACAAAATACTCTGACCAATACCAACTTGGGGAGGAAAGGGTTTATTCAGCTTACATCTGAATGTAAGGTCGCAGTTCATCAGGGAGCCCAAGGTAGGAACTCAGGGCAGGAACCTGGAAGCAGGAACTGGAGCACAGGCCATGGAGGAACACTGCTTACTGGCTTGCTCCTCTGGCCCTGCTCAGCCTGCTTTCTTATGCAACACAGGCCCACCTGCCCAGGGGTGGTACCCCCCCCACTAAGCTGGGCCCTCCCACATCACTTATCAAGAAGATGCCCCTCAGATATGGCCACAGGCCAATCCAATAGAGGCAATTCCCCAATTGAGGCTCCCTCAACCCAGGTGTGTCAAGTTGACACTAAAGCTATCCAGCACACTTGACATCAATTCTAACTTTCCTAAAACCTAAAAAAATGACAGTTATTGTAAAATATTGAGTGGAGCCCTTTGAACCTCTTCTTTATATTCCCTAGTATGGGGGTGGGGGGGACTCAAACTAAATCTCTGAATCCAAGATCGTTTTAATACAATAAACACTCCAACTTTAGTATGAGAAGAAGGAACAAAGTTTATTCGAGATTCCTGAGAATGTCTCCTTCATGTCTTCACATCTGGAACTACTCCCTCCTCACACACTACTAACCTCCCGCCTCTCTTACCTTGCCCTTTCTCTCAGGAATACAGGCCTTTTCCTCAGTGTATAATCTTCTATTTTTGACATCCTTCTAAATACATTAATCCTTTACTTATGTGACTTTAATTTTTATTCTACTTGCAAAATGCTAAAAGAGGAATGGCCGGAGTGGCTGGGAGTGTGGGGATAATAATACAGAACATCTAGAACTACTTCTAGCCTCTGGGCAGAAAGGCATTTATGAGATGGAATATGTGCCTACCTATTTACACCTATTTTAATCCCATCTCAACTTGTATCCAGTGTAAGAAATCCCTCATTAGCAGCTATTTCTGCCACAGCTACTGTAGGGAGGCAGGTGCTACAAAGCATTCAAAGTCTGGTTACTCCGAAATGATATGAATCAGATGAATCATTTTAAAGAGCCGAATTAAAGGAATTAAAATACCAGAGTAGTGATTTAAGTATCTTTTAATTGTATATGACATAGTACATATAAATGACATAGTATACCTCATTGTTGGTTTTTAAAATAACATATATACAATTGCAGACTCTGCTAGTAGGGAAGCTATCTAAACTGCTAACCAGCCACAACAGCCTAGACGGCAGGACAGGAAGACCTTGTTCTTCACCGCCCAGCTTTCCATTGTACATACCTGTCACCACATGTGTTGATACCCAGCTTTATAGAGGTTTCAACTGACAAATCCTAGGAAAGGAAATCTCTCCTAAAGAAGACTTAATTTGCGTGATGCTATGCATCTCATTGATTGATTATATTGGTCCTGCAGCATGAGCTTCGGAGCACACTAACCTAAAAGCATATGAAGTGATATGATTACATACCTTTTCCTCCACTTTAATCTTCTTCTGATCTAATTCCGTCAGTCGCAGTAGCATAAATATTACAAAGAACCAGTATTCGGATTTTTCCTATTTAAAATAACAAGAGGACTATTCAATTGCCTTCCGTCCCCAGGCCAGCAAGCACCAGCTTTCTATTCTCAAGGGTTTGATGCTTTCAGGATCCACTAGCCCAACTTCCACAAGCCCCCTGCCCCCAGGACTCTACATTTTCATGTTTAAATTAAAAACCAACATGCAGAATGTGCTTTGTCATTTATAAAGCTCTTCAAATGTGTGGATCTTATTAATCTCCCTGAGAAATAAGCAGGGTAGGTAGGATTATCCTCAGAGAAGTGCAGCATCTCATCTAAGATTCCAAACCCTCTCCTAATATCAAAGAGTTTCATTACTGAAAATAATGAAATTTTATTATTTCTTATGCTCTTATCATGGATTTATTGTTTATTGTGTTCTTCTACATTAGTTGATCTCATTCATTATAAACTTGTCTTACAATAATAAAATGATACTCATTTGTGAGACAAATTCCTTCTCACTTCCTATCACCGGCTGGGCTGTGTTAGGATTATCTGCTTTTAAAACTAATTGACTGTATTTTGGATAAGACGTTTCAGCCCTTTGAAGGGCTACTGGTGGAAGATGCCTTTCGTAGATGAGAATGCAGAAGGAATAAAAACATTAAAGGATCTTTACTTAGGTTCCCAATACAAAGAAAAGGGAGCTGGAAATGCTCATCAGCCTGAATTGATTAGTCCATGCTGCACACATGTACTGAGCTGCCACAGTGCACCCCAGAAATGTGCATGATTATTACACATCAATTAAAACTTTTTAAAGCTTCTCTTACACACTTGAACATAGAAGAGTTGTGGAGAGTATTTGTACATAAATGTATTAATGTGCATGAAAGTGATGTCTATTTATACATCTGCAGAGCACTGTTTGTGGCTCAGAAACCAGAGTATGATGGTCACTTTCAGTTCTTCCTTTCCCTTAGGTACTTTAAAATTGCCTGAATGTTCCCATGTCTGTTTTTTGTTTTGTTTTGTTTTATTTTGTTTTGTTTTACATATATGCGTGTATTGCCTGCATGTAGGTGAGTGCACCCGTGTTGTGGAATGCCCTCGGAGGACAGAAGAGGCTGTCAGATCCTCTGGAACTGGAGTTATAGACAGTTGTTAGCTGCCATGTGGGTGCTGAGATTCAAACCTGGGTCTTCTGCAAGAACAACCAGTGTTCTTAACCACTAAGCCATCTCTCCAGCCCCATGGTTTTATTTTTATATCTTTTTGTTGTTGTTGTTTTTATTTTGTTTCTTCACTTGTTCGGACATATTCATCAAGATATAAGCAGAGTAAATAAAAGAGATACGGAGATCCATGGAGGCAAATGTGAAGCACACAGGTAGAAAAATACAACGAAGGCCAGACGGACATGGAACAAGGGACAGAGGCTGGAGGAATGGATTTATCAATCAAGGAAAAAGGAGGAACTTGGAAAATGGTCTCTGATCCTTAAATCCCAGAAGCTTTATAAGCTTCTAGGATATCATTTTATCCTATAATCATTTTACAACCATGCCAATTTCATGGCTATGTCCAGGCAAATTACTTTAGGATCCTAATTTTACACTGTCTTTCCTCTTATAAAATAGGAATTGTATTCTGTCTATACCTCTGGGGTCTTGTATTCTCTAATATGAAAGAACATCGCTCTACAACCTTGTTAGTTCCCTCCTGTAATATTTTTTTTTTTTTTTTTTTTTTTTTTTTTTTTAAAAAAAAAAAAAAAAAAAAAAGATGGCCTGGAACTCACTGTGTAGACCAAGCCGGCCTTGAACTCACAGAGATCTGCCTGCCTCTACCTCCTGAGTGCTGGGATTAAAGGCATATGCCACCACACCCAGCCCTCCTGTAATTTTTTAGCACCACCCACCATGAACCACAAATGACCATGCTAAGGAGGTAATAACATTCAATTTCAGGCTTTATTGAAACTGGTGGAGTTTGGTAGCTTACTAACCATGAAAGACAATCTTACTTCTTTAAAACAAGTTGTTTAAAATATTAGTTTACTTAGCTCTTCTGTTTTCAGAAGCCCATTGAAGATCCAAGAAAGTCCTTGTTTTCCTCCCCTCCCTCCTTCTCCCCTCCTCCCCAGATGTAAATGACCTCACACCTGAATTGGATTTCTTAGAAGATTGAGAATTCGAAGGATAGGAAGATTTTCAATGTATTCTATTTCATTCAGCTCAGCAATCTGCTTAATCAAAAAATACATATATTATTAACAGACAATGAACAAAGACAATAGGAAACAATATAGTAGCCAATATAATTAGATCCTTTAAATTCAATTTATTTAAAACTTGTCTGGTGAATATCCAGTGTTGTAATGAGAACTCTACAAAGCTACTGCAGAACCCAGAAATGAGTATAAGCTCCTCAGTAAATGTGAGCACACAGGGTCCCATTTTCTCTTTCTCCCTCAGGCTAGAAAACAGTAAGCTTTTCCTCTCACCCATGTTTATTTTAAGTAGACATAAAGTAAGATGCAAAGTAAGAGAAATGGAATCCACCCCTGTCTCAGCCCTCCCGTTCCGTGACTTCACTTCCCAACCCAGTTTCTTTTCCCCTACATCTGGGACTGGCAAAGCCTTCTGACTTCTTGGACATATGCGGTTCTATTGCATTTTCCATGACAGAATTACAATGAAAATTGCATGACATTTTTCTTGAGTGTTCTCTGCTCAACCTGCTATGTACATATTTTTGTGTATAGGTTATATTTTACAATTTAAAAAGAGAAAAGATTGTCCAGTTGGAAGTGTGTCTTTTTTTTTTTTTTAACAGGGTTTCCTCTGTACCCCCAGCTGGTCTAGAACTCATTATATAGACAAGGCTGACCTTGATCTCCTGCCTCTGTCTCCAGAGTGCTGGGTTTGAAAGCATGTACCACCATGCCCTAATTTAACTAGGGATACAGTCTGGGTTACAGTGGGCCTGCATCCTCCACTAAACTAAAGACAAGTAGGTTTATTTAAATCTCCACAATTACAAAATAACAATCTTACGTCAGGCACAGATAGTGGATTTGGGGGCGTCTTTTCAAGACAGGATCTCCCTGTAGCCCCAGCTGCTCTGGAACTTACTATGTAGATAAGGCTGGCCTTGATTTCACAGAAATCTGCCTGCTTCTGCCTCCCACAAGCTGGGATCAAAGGTGTGCACCACCACGCCCAGCTAATAGTGTATTTTGTAATTAGTAGTCATTTCTCACAACATTTCTGAATGTTAAAACATTCTACCATCTGGGTCAATCACAAGTAACTCCTGAGTTATCCTGCCACAAGTGCCACCAAAATGTCAATTAGCCCCAAAGCTAAGTCAAGGAGGGACATCTGCACCATGTTCAAAGGATGCCATTTTTTGATGATGTAATATGAAAGGTGAGCTCAGAAGTTGTAACATACAACCCCCACATAGTAGCTAGCTACAACAGAGATATGTTACTGGACACATCTTTCCCAGAAGATGACAGAATTTTCCACTAGACCGCCATTTAGATCATCTATACGAAAAAGTAATCTGTTCTTACAGTGTGTTATTTAGGAAGGTGGAAAGTAAATTTGACTCATATTGTTCCATTTTGAGCAATAGATTTGATTTCTGTCTAGCACACAGCTCTTAACACAAACATTAAGAGGAAGTATGCTCTGTGAGGGGGACAAAAAAAAAAAAAAAAAAAAGAGGAAGTATGTTCCCGAAGTCACCATGTCTCACCAATATACCTGTGTTCATAGTTGCTCAGAGTGGAAATTGGTTTCTTCTTTCCAAAAAGCAATCAGCTGTGTTACAGGAACCCAGCTATCCTACTTCAGATTTATATTAAAGCAATCATCAGACAGGCAAAAACTACATAGAATAATATTCAGTCTTTGTTACTAAAAGTCAAACATCTCTAATTTCCTAGGAACTCTATCCATCATTATGTAATTAACGAGTCACTACACAGTCCTATAGCAGGAACAGTATGCATTCATTTTAGAAGACAGAAGTACATATGGTGACTGACATAGAAAGATCTTGATATGTTACAAATATCATGACAAGAACAATCATGTGCTATATAAAATTTCCACCAAGATGTCATCTGGGGTCAGCGTGTCTTTTATGAATCAGAGGATCCAGCTTTCCCCTCACTCCTTCCAAGGGTAGAATGAGGGTGGAAAGGGGAACACCACACTGGGATAGGCCTCCTGCTAAGGAAGCAATGTGCAATAGATGCTCGTCGCCCTGAGTGTGTGCCACTTTCCTATCCAACTTCACCCCAGCAGACCCCATCCCGGTAGCTCTCCATAAGACCACAGACCTGACACTGTGTATGCAGCAGACTTCTATAAAAGGTGTAGAGACAACAGCACCTCAAATATCTGAAACTAAAATATTGCCCAAAAGGTTAAATTCTTCCAGAACTTCAGCCTTCTGCTGCCAAGAATATCCTGCTGGTACCTTCAGTAACCTCCTTAGACCATGGTAACCACTAATTCACAAAATCTGTCAATTCTCATTCTCTCTCTCTCTCTCTCTCTCTCTCTCTCTCTCTCCCCCTTCTTCCTCCCATCCTTCCTTCCTTCCTTTTTCTGTTTTTATCATTTCCTTCTTGGCTATGCTCTCTAAGAATCACTACCCAGACCTAAAGAAGTCTGTTCAGGCCTTTTCTTTTTTAAGTGTGCGAGCGTGCGTGCGTGCGTGTGTGTCCAGGAAACTAATAGGTGCAAATGATTTTCCATGTTTTCTACTGTTATATACATAAGAATCTGTGTAGAACAACATTTCTCAAACTGTGGGGCTGCAGCAGCTAGACTGTGGTGATAATGACAAATGCATCCCTGGGGTAAAAGTCATCAGATGAAGCAATGAAACACATTCTAAAGCTGAAGTACAAATCAGCAAGAAAATGCTTACGGAATTTTAGCATAATAAATAGTAGCTGTTATCATATTAATACTATTAGATATTAGGAAAATACAAATTTAGATCTTTATTTCGATTATAACAAACTAAACTATGGATTAAGAGTTGGAAGGTAGTATAAATAATACAGAATAAAAAGAGTTTAGGTGAGCATCTATGAGATTCAGAATGAAAAAAGATTTTAAGCAGGGCGTGGTGCACACCTTTAATGCCAGCACTCAGGAGGCAGAGGCAGGAAGATCTCTGTGAACTCAAGGCCAGCCTGGTCTACATGGTGAGTTCCAGGTCATCTGGGGCTCCAAGGAGACCCTGTTTCAAAAAGACCAAAAAAAAAAAAAAAGATTTTATAAAGATAGGCCAGGTATGGTGGTGCACACCTGTAATTCCAGCACTCAGGAGGCAGGGGCAAGCAGCTCTCCGTGAGGTCACCGCCAGCTTGGTCTACATAGTAAGTTCCAGGCTATCTGGAGCTACAGAGAGACCCTGTCTCACAAAGACTACACACATACATACACACACACACACACACACATATATATATAAAGAATATACTACAGAAAATGTTGATATATTCTATAAATTATTTTAATATGTATACCTAAAATACCTTAATAAGAAGCAAAAGAACAACTGCCATAAAGTAAACAATAGCTAAGGGTAGAAGCAGGTAACTTTTTAAAGAAAATCAAATGGTTAGCAAACAAAAATGTTCAACCTCATTGATAACCAAAGAAATTTATGTAAAATAGTATACAACATACTGGTTTTCACTAACAGATTGACATAACTTTTAAATGTGATTTGTTGAAAAATGAATAGTAAGATATGCCTACAACAAGATAGTCTAACATATATTACAGTGGAATTACTAATTAGTATGAACATTGAGAAAACAAATCTACAATCTTTAAGACACCCATAACCCAGTAATGGTATTTCCAAAAATCTATCATAAGAAAATAATAAAAATTTATGCAAAGATTTATGTGCAAGAATATATTTCAACATTATTTTTAATAGTAAGTTGTAAACACAACAAATTTCAATAAGTAAATGATTCAATAAATCCTGACATATATGTTAATAGAATAACTCATTACTATTAAATCATATTTTTTTCAGTATTGAGACAATTTGTTTTCTACATGGGAATTAGATACCTATCTCACACTGCCCACAAACATAAATACTAGCTGGATTTAAAGAAAATATTTTTTAAATTCAAAACCTGATATTATAAGAAAACATGAGAATATTTATATTTGTAAGATATAGAGAATTTTTTTTAAACATAGAAAGCAGAAATGGTAAGAGACTATCGTCAAAAATAGCTTTCGGACTTGTCTCCATTTCCCAGACACAGTACTACACATGCATGAGCCTTCGAGGGCTGTCATGACAGGACACAAACCTGAAGACTTAAAACAACAGGAGCTGGTTCTTAGAGTGCTGCAGATAAGGCCGAAATCGAGGGCTGGGAAAGCTCATGATCCCTCTGAAGTCTCCAGAGGAGACTCTTTCCTTGCCTCTTCCAGCTTCTGCCAGACCCAGGCATCCTCGGCTTGAAGCCGCTCCAGCCTCTGCCTCCATCTTCACCTGAGTGAAGACGTCTTCACATAGGTGGGCTTCTGTGTATTTTCTCCCTTTCCGTCTTTTACAAGGACATGAGCTTTAAGGCCACCTAATTATCTCAGAATAATCTCATTTTGAGATTAACTTCATCTGTAGAAACCCTTTTTTCTAAACAAGGGCACACCCATAGTTTCTCGAGGTGGTAGTGTTGGACACATTCTCTGGGGGCAGTGGAGGGAGTGTCAGGGTTCAACCCATTCTACTTGATAGGATTAGCTTCCAAGAGAAGTTGCTCCACAGTCACATTTGCTTTCCATCCTGGAGAGACGGCAGTATAGTTCCCTACTCCCCAGCTATATCGGAATGGGATTCTGCCTCTATAAATGTAGGGAAAATGAGCATCTATGCCTGACCATGGTGCTGGTTAGCATCACTATCACCCAGCCACCTGCATCTCCTGATGAAGACCTGCAGTCTTCTTCAACATCTTCTTCTTCTCATCCACCACCTCTACTCTGCCTCATTAATTCTACCTCAAGAGTCTCTCTGATGTCTTCCTTACTCCATCTGCTTTATTGAAGGCCCTCACCATCTTCATTAAAACAATTCCTCTGATCTCTAGGCTTTTCTTTTTTCCTTTCTCCACCCAATAGGAAAACACCTTATACATAGTCTTTCCAGAATCTTCCTGTATGTACCTAAAACACCAAC